ATCCAGCTGCTCCGAAGTGGACACAGTGCTCCCCCCAGCATCCCGTGGCCCCCGCTCCGGTGGGCAGCAGCAGCGGGGCCCTCTGGGCTCCGTCCGTCGTCTGTGGGGTCAGGGGTGCTCCCACGGCTGCTCAGGACACACACGGGCCTTGGGGCCGAGGAGCGCAGCCGTCTCTGCCGGGCAACCCCGCGTGCGGGAGCACCTGACCCCACCTTCCCCCAGCGGCTGTTTTTTTAACACCAGCATAGTCATTGGAATCCAAGGTTTTACCACCCTTGCCTACTTATAAGTCAAAAATAAGTTGTGATGTTCGTTCATTTCTGTAATGAGAGACCTCGACCCACGCGCTGCCGTCCTGAGGAACAACGGGCTTCGTGGCTTGGAGCCCCTTGGGGGGTCGCTCCCAGACCCCAGCACCTGTGCCCTGGAAAGTCTAGAGCATCTCCCGCTTTGATGCGGGCTCTCTCCTTTCTGTTTTGTTCTTCTGGGTTTTTTTTTTTCTTGTCCTTTTTTTTTTTTTTTAAATCTGTTGTGTGTTTGCTTGCCCAGGGCTTATTTGAAAGGCTAGAAAGAGCAACACAATCAGGACTGGATATTGGAAGAGTCCAGAGCTGGGTCTCGAATGTATTTTTTTGAGACAACGCATCGGGCGGCCAGTGCTTGTCATTATAACGTCGAAATCCGCAGAGCTCCCCCCATCAAATCGCGGTCGTGAAAGTGCCGAAGAAACCCTACGTGATTTTCCTTTCAGATCTCTTTCTGGTCCCCTAATGGTCACTGTTAAGTATAAATTGTTCATAACAGTCTGACTCCAGGGAGGTAAGAATCACACCCACGGCATTTCAGAAAAGCTCCTGGAGATGCCACGAGGGCACGTGGGCCTGGGCACTGAGCGGCCTGTGCCTCTGGGCCCGGACCCCTCACTCCGCCTCCGCATGACGTCCGTGGCTCCACCTCGTGTCTGTGACCTCGCGGCTTTGCAGGGCGCACACTTACCACAGAAAACCACAAAAAGAAAACTGAGGTCCTTTGGGCTCCTCCCCAAACTCCAGTGTAGAAAGTCACAGTCTTTTATGCAGCTGGTGACCCACAGGTTTTTCACAGCAACACGTTGTCCGTCTGTGATGGACCCCTGGCCCCGTGAGCCCCGGGGTTCGTGCGGCCGCAGGTCCAGGCTGTGGACCGTCGGAGCCACATCGCTGAGCCCCGGCCAGCACGCGGGTCGTGCCCCCTTCAGCGTGGACCACGTCGTTTTAGCCTCGGCACAAGCGAAGCAGAGGGGCAAATTGCCTGAAATCCCAAAACCGGAGATGGAATCGTCCCTGCTGACCGTAAGCGCTTCGAACCCTGGCGGAGGCCGGTGCCAGTGGGCGCGTGGAGCCTGCTTGCTGCCCGCCGGCCCGCCCACCGCCCACGTCAGAACAGCTGACTATGTCACGGCCGTTTCCAGGTGGCCGGATGCCAGGAACTGAGAAACCCCAATAACCTGCAAGCAGTCCTGGCGGCTGGCACCGTCTACTGCCACCCCCACCCGCACGGATGGTGGTCACGCAGCCGCACACGACGCCGAACGGGGAGGAAGAGCCACGCCGTGCCGCCGGCCGCGTAGCCCCACGCGAACACGGTTCCCCGGCCTGTTCCCAGAGAGGCCCGCTTCCCCTGGTCCCTGCTCTGGGGGCGCTGCGTCCACGGGAAGCCCGGCCACCGCGTGCAGACCGCCTTCGCCGTGCGGGGTCTTTCCACGGAGCTTCCTCGCGCTTCCCGTAGAAGCTCCCCAGAGGGGTCAGGCCTGCGGTGCCCCCAGCCCCACACGCTAGTGAGCAGTGGACGAGTCACCTGACCGGCTCGTGTTCTCACGTGCCCCGTTGATCTTTGCTCTGACATGTCTGCGACCGCGGTGCGGTGCATCTGCTCTTGTGAAGCCCACTATCATGACCCAGAGCTGGAGGGCACCTTGGAGGCGGTGGCGCTTTGTCTCCCCATGGCCCCGTGCATGGGGCAAGGCTGCAGGCTCCTGTGCCGTGGTCGTCCCATTCCCCACCCCCACCACCCCATGTGTGGTGTGTGGGACGAGGCTGCAGGCTCATGTACCATGCCCATCCCATCCTCCCCGTGCATGGGGCAAGGCTGCAGGCCCCTGCACTGTGGCCGTCCCGTTCTCCCCCACCTCCCGTGTGTAGTGTGTGGGACAAGGCTGCAGCCTCGTGTACCATGCCCGTCCCATCCTCCCCGTACATGGGGCAAGGCTGCAGGCTCGTGCAAAGCTGCAGGCTCTTGCACCATGGCCATCCTGTCTCCCCCGTGCATGGGGAGAGGCTGCAGTCTCCTGCACCATGGCCGTCCCCCCACCCTGGTCCGTGGTGCATGGGACGGGGCTGCAGGCTTGTGCACCATGGCCATCCCATCCTCCCCATGCATGGGGCAAGGCTGCAGGCTCGTGCAAAGCTGCAGGCTCTTGCACTGTGGCCATCCTGCCCCCCCTCCCCCCGGTGCATGGTGCATGGGACAAGGCTGCAGGCTCATGCACCATGGCCGTCCCCCCACCCCATGTGTGGGGCAAGGCTGCAGGCTTGTGTACCATGGCTGTCCCATACCCCCACCCCCTGCGTGGGGCGAGGTTGCAGGCTCCTGCACAATGGCTGTCTCGCCTCTGTGGGGGTACATAGCTCAGGGATCGAGTGAGAGAGGAACAGGTGCCTGGTTACCAGGAGGGTGAGGCGTAGGGGGCTCAGGGGCTGTAACAGCAAAGACCTTTCCTACTTGGGACCAAGGAACTGAAGGCAACCCTAGGATTCAGAGGGTGGAGAATTAACAGAAGTCAACTAAACCTAAACGTGGCGGGGAGGTGTTCACCTCCATGAGGTGCGGGTCACGGCCACGGTCCCCGGGCAGCCTCTCCCGCAGTTTGAGGAGCCAGGGGGTGACACAGGCCTCTGTTTCCCATTCGCGCCTCCATCCGTCTCCTCCTTCCTACGTCCTTCAGGATGCTAAGGCGCGTCTCACAACAGGAAGTTAAGAGAAAATCATGAAAATAATACACGTTGCCTGACGTGTTTTCTTCTTTGACTCATCTTGGAAAATGCCCCAAGACGGTGCTCGTGCCTCCATGGTTTCAAGCGTATGTATTGATTCGCATCACGGCTGGGTCTTGGCGGGCACAGCGGGTGGCCTCAGAGCCCCCACTCGGTGCGGCGGGGGCCAGGCTGGCTGCCCGGGGGCCGCGCCGCCGCTCACAGCCCGTGGATACAGAAGCCACAGTGTGTAAGTGGAGAGGAGAATGTGACCTTTACACGTGCACGCATCCACCAGGACAGGCTTGCCGGCGGCGTCCAGGACCCGGAGCCCTGCACCAAGGGGGCGGCGGGCATGCCAGTCAGACGCGTCCAGCCGGTCCCTGGTTGTGCTCCCGGGTCGGGTGTCTCTCCCCTTGCCGCTCCTCGGGAACACGTGTATCCTTTATGCTAAAGAAAGGGATCGATAGGGATTATCCAGAAAGCAGACCCGATGTGCTGTAGACAAGGGGCGACGCTCTATGACTAACATACGGGAAACTTGACTTGCCGATGCTTAGAAAGACGCCTTAGATGTTTAAAAGCTGTTGATTTGCTCTGTGGGCCAGCAGAACATCGTCACTGATGTGTCGGTGCCCGGCCGAAGTCTCCTCGGAGGGATCAGCGTGACGTCATAACGGAGGCCCCGGGGACACCCCGGCTCAGCCGTGAGGGAACAGGTACTTAGTGCTAATCGGTGCACCTCCTTCCTCCAGCACGTTGATGAACTGGAGCGATTCTCCTTTGTTTTGTTTTGTGTTTTGTTTTTTTTTTTTTTTAATCACAGAGACAGAAGGCGGGGGTGACGGCGGCGTGGGGTTCCCTGCAGCCAGTCCGAGGGCTGGGGGAGGGGAGCCTCCGGAGCCCGCCCGTCAGTCCTGCACTGGAAGCACCCGTGCTCGCGACCCTGCAGCACGGGGGACAGACATGCACGTCCCAGATATTCCTTGAGTGTTAGAATACATTTTGGGTGAAAAACAGGAGTTTTATGTAATTTTTTTAACCCGGTGTTGTTTTAGCAAGTTGTCCGACACGTTTTTGGAGACTGGACGTAGTGCTCGTCCGGACGGTGCTCCCAGCAGCGCAGCTCCTGACGCGGGGAGGCGGGCAAACCCGGGGTGCCGCGGTCACGGTAAAGGCCGCAGCGTCCGGGCCCCAGGCGCACCGCTGACCGCACGCGCCCCGGAGCTTTCCGGGCTCCCCCGGGGCAAGCGCACCCCCCTCCCTCCCGCCCTCTCAAACCTGAGATACGAATGCGGGAACCACCGTTAATTAGATGTAGTTTCTAAACTTTGGCCGCACGTTCCCGTTGCCTCTCCGTGGACCGTGACACACTGTCTATAAGATAGAACATTCGAAATAGCGTCATTCAGTCCACACGTGCGCTCCTGACACCCAACGCCCAGCGTAGGTGGCGGCGCCGCTGCCGGAGCCCGAGGCCTTCCACTGTGGTTCCTGAGCATCACTGTGAAAACAAACAATTTAAAAGCAATTGCCGCGAACATCTGTCTAAGAGTCGGTAACGAGTCAAGTTCACGAACTCTTAGAGAGCCTGGTAATACGATGAGTGTAATTATCACGCATCTGCTTGGGCTGCAAATAAATAAAGCCAATAAAAGATAAAAGTCACTCGTAAAATTTAGAATGAAAAATTCATATTTTAGAATCACACATACCACATAGCCTGGCTCATTTTAAGAATAATTAAGGAAATGGAAAGTTCCTAGCAAGGGCTTCCCGCGGGCCCCCGGCTGTAGCGCAATCCGTGCCCTCGGTGGCACAGCGCCAGCCCCGCCGCACGCGGGGCTCCGTCTCCAGTACGCAGTGAGCAGGGTTTTGACGTGCCATTGACTTGCTTTCCATGCTGTTGCCACTAAACTTCAAGTTCTAGCCACTTTTTCCTTTTCTTTTCTTTTTTGTCCCTTTTTTTTTTTATCTTCTTTGCAGAAGACCATCAAATGAGCTGTCACAATTCTCGAATAATGCAAGACGCGGAGAAGGACGACAACAACAACGAGGAGTACGATAATTACGATGAGCTGGTGGCCAAGTCCTTGCTGAACCTCGGCAAGATCGCCGAGGACGCGGCCTACCGGGCCAGAACGGAGTCGGAGATGAACAGCAACACCTCCACGAGCCTGGAGGACGGCAGCGACCGGAACGAGGCGCTGGGCCGCAAGAGCGAGCTGAGCCTGGACCTGGACAGCGACGTGGTGAGAGAGACGGTGGACTCCCTGAAGCTGCTGGCCCAGGGACACGGGGTGGTGCTCGCGGAAAACCTCAACGACAGAGCGTACGCAGACTCCCTGTCGCAGCAGGACAGCAGGAACATGAACTACGTGATGCTGGGCAAGCCCATGAACAACGGGCTCATGGACAAAATGGTGGAGGAGAGCGACGAGGAGGTGTGTCTGAGCAGCCTGGAGTGCCTGCGGAACCAGTGCTTCGACCTGGCTCGGAAACTGAGCGAGACCAACCCGCAGGACAGGAGCCAGCAGCAGAACATGAACATCCGCCAGCACGTCCGGCAAGAGGACGACTTCGCGGGGAGGACGCCGGACAGGAATTACTCCGACATGATGAACCTGATGCGGCTCGAGGAGCAGCTGAGCCCCAGGTCTAGAACTTTCTCCAGCTGTGCAAAGGAGGACGGGTATCACGAACGAGACGACGACACCACCTCCGTGAACTCGGACAGGTCTGAGGAGGTGTTTGACATGACCAAGGGAAACCTGACCCTCTTGGAGAAAGCCATCGCTTTGGAAACAGAGAGAGCGAAGGCCATGAGGGACAAGATGGCGATGGAGGCCGGAAGGCGGGACAATGTGCGGTCGTACGAGGAGCAGTCGCCAAGACAGCTTCCCGGGGAGGAGAGGAAGCCTAAGTCCAGTGACAGCCATGTCAAAAAGCCATACTATGGTAAAGGTAATATTTCTACCTAACGTAAGTTGCCTCATGAAAACAGGAGCTAGGGTGAAAGATGCCAATGATGCTCCACAAAGGAAGTGTGCATCACGCTGAGTCTTATCGCTGATGCCCATCTCTTTAGAGCTGGTTACAGAATTACATTTTGTGATTGTGTTTCTGAAGAGCGAATAAAATATTTGTCTGGGAGATGCACAGAGCAGCCCAATGTCCCATCAGAGCAGATGAGTGGCACGTTTCAGCGGGAGAGGCTTGCCTTGGAAAGACAGGGCTAGCGCGCGCACACAGCGCGTGATAGGACACGTTAGCGTGAGCCCGTGTTCTTACACACGAAGCAGAGTCTATGTGGAGTGGCCAGGGCTCACGCAACGAGTAGCCAATCAGGGATGAGACACGTATTTTATGTATCGGAACGGGTAGGTGGCATCATGATTCATAAAATCATCAACCAAGTGACGCTTACTGATGAAACGCCTCCCCCCCCCCATAGAAAACACGCCCTCATAGAAATTGAACAGAAACAGAATGACCTATAACGTAAGAGAAGGGCAGTGACTGCACATTAATTATCCTAAGATAGTGAGTAATGGGAGCCGTTTGCTATGCAAGGCGTGCTGCGTCCTGAGCTGAGATCGATAGTCATTCCTTCAGGATGCTCATTCCCGCTCACTGATTCCATTCCATTCTGTGGAAACGGTTATGGCGCCTGCTTTATGGCGAAATACTCAAAAACCACCCAACACGATAGTTTCAGCAGATTCTCATTTATGAGCTCTACAGGCCCACATTTTCACGCATCTTCCTACGTAAAGCAAACGCAGAGTCAGTGCATCTACGGAGCGTTCAGACATGAACGGATGACTGGCCCTGTGTTTGCAACAAGAACCGTGTCCACTTGTGATACGAGCTGGTTATGACTTAACCCCACGAGGAGCCTCGAGACCGTGGGCATCTCGGTTACAAGACCTAAAGTCAGAAGCCATTTCGAAAACGAAGCGGGTAATTCCTTAAACCCTTCCACGTTAGTACCAAAGCACATCCTCTGTCTTACCTTGTGTTCTATTCCTTACAAAGACTGGGTTTCCTCACTGTGGATCTGATGCTGAGGTTCAGGAATTTGGCTTGAAAATCAGTTGCTATGGAAACCTCAAACGATCAGAGAACCAGTTTCTCCCGTTGTGACCTAGGTGTGTAGTCTCCTCTCAATGTACATGTGCATCGCTCCTGTGGCATCGCTCTAACCGAAGCCCGGCTGGAGACAAACCTTAGCCAGAGGCCCGTCGGGTTCTCGACGCGGCGGGTGCTTGAGCGCTGACCGCCGTTTCGGTCCGGGAGGCGAAGGGGGACCTTCCGGGGGGGCGCGGCATCTGAGGAAAGGGGACAGGCGCTAGCCCAGCCGAGCGTCAGCTTGCTCTGGGTGCAGTAAGACCGTGAAGCAGCATGTGTGCGCACGACCATAGTGCAACCCACCAGGACGTTTGAGCTGGATGTTTGAGACTCATAGGAACCAGACACTTGTAGGAAGAAAGTAGTGTCCTTCCTCACGGGGCGGCTCAGTTGGACTGAGGCCTCACGTGTCAGAAGTCGGTAGAGCGGGTTTCATGGTGGAGCTGGCAGCAAGGGATGCGGCAACGGACCTCGGGAACGTGTGGGCTCACGGGGCATCGCAGACTCCATGTCGCCCTGGCTTCTTTGGCTTCTGCGGTTCCCTTAAACCCAGCAGCTTTCTGTAGACCCTTACTCATTTTGCTTTGTCATTGTTATTTTATTTTATTTTTTATTATTTATTTATTTATTTATTTATTTTTATTTATTTTTTGCAAGAAATGGAATTCAAACTGCTTGCTTCCCTTCAACAGATGGGGCTGAGGCGGGAACAAACAGTAAAACCTGAGATGTGCTTTTCCCTGAAACGGGGGAAGGGTTGGGGTATGGATCTTCCCGATGAGTCAGAAGCATTGACCCCTGACTCTACCTGTTTCTGTAGATTCCTTCCTCTGAGCCAAGCTCCCCCATTCCGTACGTGTGTTCCACTCCGTTCCCAGGTCTTTTCTCAGGATACCCGTAGGTACGTTCAGAACCGATTAAATAAAGCCAAGCAGGGACACCAGAGTGGGCCAAGGAAATTAATGCCCTCCTCACTAGAAATGTACATGAGATGACGTTTTACCAGCACGGCCAACGGACAATTCCTACGACCGCATAGCTTACCAACAGCTTCGTTGTTGCCTTATTGTACCAGTTCTCGTTTATACACGATCTCCTTGAAATGATTTAAATTATAAATGAGCAGCCTTTTCCAAAATCTTGAGCTAAAACAAAGGAAGTTCATCATGAAACTCCTCTGTCTTTCTTCTCCTCAAGCATCCACTTGAAAGGGAGGAAAGGGAGCAAGCTAAATCCAGCGCACGATTTTTTTTTTCCCCTTCTAGACGTTCTCGCAGGGTTTTCAGTTGAATGACTGGTCTGTTTGCTTGCTTGGTTGTCTTGTGTTTGCTTGAATGTTTACCTTCAACTGGGATTTCCGGAAATCAGCATGCGAGGGGAGGGGACGGCGGAGGCGAGCGGCATCGAGAGGAGATTATACCCTTGTGTCCTCCAAAAACTGAAATTGTTTGAGCACTTAATTCTATACAGATCTGCACTGAACTTCAGAACACTTTGGAAATCTGAGACCTAATGAAATTCGTTAGGAAATTGTAAGTGTGCTAATGAAAAAGAGTCACTTAAGGATGAGTAATGGTCACAATGTAGGCTTTTACCTTTACATGCTATTTACATTTAGCTTATGATCTTTAGTAATGAATAGTTTCCTCTGAAACCGTTACTGTGCACTTACTATTTCATATTTACATTAATTAAGTCATACTAACATTCTTATGAAACTACGCAAAAGGCAATAAAATGCTAGGTTTTTTGATCGCATGTGTAAGGGAAGCTCCAGTAAGATATTTAGAAACCGAAGCCACGACACGGTATCAGGTCGTCTTTGGAGACTCTGACCTTCCGCGAGGGCAGCGAGTCGCTGACGGCCGTGTCCAGGGCACGCCCCTCCAGCACCGCACTGGTTTACAGACCCACGACCTGAAAGATGTATTTATTACCCAGAATAAAATGCTAGCTAAAAACAGAAAGGAGGGTGAGGTTTTTTTTTACATAAACATAAAATTGTTTATTTCTTCCCGTGAGCCCTTTGTCTCCTTCAAGGTCATGCATGCGACCATACGAGGTCATAAAACTTGAACCAAACCTACATTTCCTCGCTGTCTCGATTGGCCTGGTTAATGAGACATTGATAGGAAAGTGTTACGCCCCTGAGGAAACTGTTAACCGCACTCTCCCTGCCCCAAACCGCCACAGTCACCATCTGTGGATGATCTGTGCCGCTGGTTTTCAAAAACTGGCTCAAAAACGACGTTTTTGCAGCCTTAGATGACAACCCGGTCTGAGCCTTCCCTTAGAAATATCTTCTGGAGCTGTTTTCTGCACATTGACGAAGCGTGGTCAATTCTGGATTAGAGAAATAACTTTCCTAGCAATAGGGTTGCATCTCTGGCATCTGGCATTCACGTTCGACCCGTGGTCCGCTCTGCTCCTCCCTCGACCGGTGGTGCAGAGCGCCAGCGGGGCTGTATAAAACCATCACCTCCTGGTTTTGTTTATGCATGCACAGCATCCTAAGATCCTTCCTCTGGTTCCGAGTACAGATGAAGAAATCAAGACAAATGGTTGCTCCAGCAGCTTCTGAAACATTTTTGTTTTATTGTCCATCTCCCCTGTCGGGTGGGATCCCACCATTCCGGTTCATTTGCTTACAGTGCCTTCTAAGAGTTCAGCTTGTTGCAGAGAATCTCCGAATCGGTGTGCCGTGGAGCGGTGTCGCAAGGTGCCAGACTCCAGCAGCGCTAAAACTCTGCACCTAATGCCGTAAACGGTTACGGCGCCCGGCGGGACAGACGCGGCCCCGCAGAGCGCACGGGGGACGCTGTGCTCCCCGTGGGATGTCACAGAGCGGCGGGCGGGGGTGGGGGGGACCACCGAGAGGCTTGCTCTCTTAGAAGGTCACTGTGTCATCATTCTTTATGTTGATTTCTTTGAGCAACACAGCTTGTCATGTAACACACGGGAAAACGATCAGGAACGAAGGTAGGGATAGTCTCTCTCTCTCTTTTTTTTTTTTTTCATTTTTTTCCACCAGCAAAGAACGTAAAATATTTTATGATTCGCGATGACACCATGTAAAGTCAAAAAAAAAGAAAAGAAAAAAAAAAACTACCCCAAAACCCAAGAGGTACCTACGCAAGTCGATGTCACAGCCTGTCACCCCTGACACCTGCTGATTTTCTTTATTTATCAAGGTCTCTCCAGGTTGTTAATGAATCACATTTGTCTTCGATGGGGAAAAAAGAAAAAAGGAAAAGAAAAAAAAATTCATTCTCTTGACACCTGTTGTCGCTTTTAGATCCCTCGAGAGCAGAAAAGAAAGAGAGCAAGTGTCCCACCCCGGGGTGTGATGGAACTGGCCACGTAACCGGGCTTTACCCACATCACCGCAGTCTATCTGGATGCCCGCACAAAGATAGGGTCCCTCCGGAAAGTAAGTCCGTGTTCCGCCAATGCCCGTGGGGGCGCGCACGCCCACGGCCCTGTCTGTGTCACCCACGTGCCTGTCATCCCATGTCAGTGCAGCTCCACCTCGAACCCCGTCTCCCCCCCCCCCTGTCCTGACGGGCACCTCAGCCAGGACGAGCTGTCCCTATCGCTAGATGGCCCAGGACGGCGGTCCACCCCGCCCCTGGCGCTGTCCCTCGCGGACGGGCCCGGGGGAGCCCCGGGCACGTCGCCAGCCCCCTCGCCTCTCACAAGTCACCCAAGAGAATTCAGATAGTCTCGGGACGGCCCGTGCGGAGCTGAGCTCCCATGACCCCCCGAGGGACAGGAGCTTGAGCCTCCTCTTGCCCGGTTACGGAGACTTCTGTACGGACGAGCCAGTACGGAGAGTTGCATTTTACTGCATTTTGCTTGTGAGGTCTGTTCCGTGTCACGGCTGTCCCCACATTTCCACGCAACGAGACCTTAGGTGAGGACGTTGAACTCGGGCGGGTCTTTTTAATCAGCCACGTTCTGAGACCATCCAGCCGATTCTGAGCACAGCTGAACTCATTCTGGGACCGGAATGATGCACCATTTCTGAAACCTCTTTTGTTTGCCCTCCTCTCGGCACAGGAAGTGAGCCGGCTACTCAAAAACCGTTAGTATTGATTGCTCAGGGGAAAAGGCACCTTTCAGAAATGACGAGATGAGTCTAGGGTCCTATGTTGAGCCTCAGGGATGTCCAGGGTTTCCCTCATGAGCTGAGACACCGTTTCCAGCAGGCAAAGCGCAATAGCTTGGCCGGGCCGCGTCAGGGGGACCCGGTGACCCTTTGGAGGAGTCTTTGGGGGGGTCCCGCCAAAATGGCTCACTTGGGAATTCTCGAGGTGCAAATCTGTCCCAACAAAGAGAGGTTCCTAGCGGCCCCTGGGGCTCAGAAACAGCTTCAGCTGAACATTTCCAGGGGCGATAGAAGCTTTGTGCCTCCAGGTTTCCGAGCGGCTCCTGAGCACGAGAAGCCCGTATTTCTGATAAGTGCCCGGCGAACAAACGTGCAGAGCCGGGAAGGAAGCCCCTCGAGTGCAAGGCCGTGCCCGTGTGTTACATGAGCAGGGAGCCAGCATGGTCTGAACGCAGCAGCTTCCGTGGCTGAGCGCCAGCGCGCGGCCTCCCTCACTCCCCACGAGCCCGCCCTCGCGCCCCCTGCCCGGGTGAGCTCGGTGCCCGGCCGGCTGAAGGCCCTCGGCGGCGTCTTCAGAGCAATGCGAGCCGGCACCGACCTGCCCAGCGGGGAGCGGGCCCGGGCCTGAGGCCCCGGCCGCCGGGGTCCCCTCCCGCCTGCGCGCAGCGGGTCTGGCTCTGCGCCCCGGCCCCAGGCCTGTCGGGCTGGGCCCCGGCCCCCTCGGCCCTCCCGGCCCCCCGAGGGCCCGCCTCTGACCTCTGAGGGCGCCGCTGCCTCGGCAGTCCTTCTCCAAGGCACACGTTTCCGTCTCCCAAGTAGACACCCAGCTCCTTCCCCGGGCTGGGAAATGCCCCCGACTCCTTATTTTTGCAGGGAAAGTCTGAACGTGGCAGGAACGGGGCTGTGCTCTGCGCAGCTGCGTGGGGCCCCTGGGCCCGGGGTCAGACCCGGACTCTCCTTGGCCCCGGGGGGGGGCGGGGCAGCGCTCCACACCCAGCCGGGGAGCCCCTTGCCGAGCTCCAGCAGAAAGGCGCTTCCAAATACTCACCATACAGCTCTTCAGAGACCCTAGGACTTTAAAAGGACAAAAACAATTAGACTCCTCAGACGCAGGTCTTCCTTTTAGGCTTAGATTTTTTTCCCATTTTTTTCTGGGCCAGCCTCCCCCAGTCACCGTTTCTGCCCGTCGAAGGCAGTCTGTAGCACCCTGAGCTAGAAGCAGAGGGCTCAACGCCCGGTGGTTCTGGCCCTCGGCAGCCGAGAACGGGCCGGGCGCTCGACACAGCAGGTGACCACAGGGCTAGGGGCTCCCCAGCGGGTCCGGCTCCCCGAGGACACACACGCTCCACGGGGTGGCACCTGAGCAGGTCCTGAGGGACGGGGAGGGGCCCGGGCTGGTCGGACGGCTGGACGCCAGGCGTGACGGAGGCCGGGGCCAGGGATGGACAGTCTAGGACGAGTTCAGGACACACTGCAGACACGGGCAGGCAGAAGGATGGGCGACAGAGGGCTGGAGGTGACCCCAGGACGCCCGCCAGGCCGACACAAGGACACTCTCCACCAACAGACGTAGTGACGGAGAAATCGGCCCCACCTTAGAAGACACGGCGGCTCGGGCTCTCCGGGTGGCTGGAAGTGCAGCGTGGTGCTCCTGCGGGCTGGGGGGAGGCTCCGGGGTCTGGGTGGGGTCGGGGACGGGGCGGCTCTCGGGACCTGTTTTCCAGCCAGGGCTCGCGGGATCCAAGGATGAGGTTGTCCAGACAGGAGGCACGAAGCGAGAATGAACAGGAGCCAAAAACGGGAGTTTGGGGCACGAGCATATAGAACATGAGGCCGAGGAAGAGGGAGCAGAGGGACGCAGGAGAGCGCGGTGGTTCTGGAAAGGTCCGGCCCACGCGGGGAGGCCTGAGAAGGTGGTCGGAGGGGACGGGCGGCCGAGGTCACTGCCACTGAGGCTCAGGCGCAGAGAAGGGAGGGTGGGAAGGATGAGCGGCAGGTGCAGCGGCGGCCTGAGGACCGCGGGGCCGAGGCAGACACCGAGCACAGGTGGGGCCCCCGGACGGCAGGAGGGAGTCCGCGTCTCCACGCGGCGGGGCGGGCGGCCGAGCGTGCAAGGCTCCGCTCTCTCTACGGGGAAGACCGGGTTTTGGAAAGTGTAGCGTCCCCGGGAAGGAAAGATGCGCTGATTTGAGAGGAAGCTGTGTCGCGGGGAGGGTTTCCGAGAGGCCCCGACGGGAGGATGGATGACGGAGGTGAAGCGGGAGCCCCGAGGGAGGAGTGCAGGCCCCGGGGCGGGGGCGGCGAGGCCTCAGGGGCGACGGGCAGCAAGCAGGCAGGGCCCAGGGCGGGGGCCCGGGAAGGAGGCCTCCTGACGCCCCCCAGCCAGCCCCCGGCACACGGAGCCAAGGCCGCTCACCCTCGCCCATCGGTGCTGACCGAGCGACGGACACACGTCAGGACGACACGGGAGCACGAAACTGTAAAGGTGAAGCCAGAAGCACTCGCTCCGTAAGGACCTGGTCAGGAGGGAGCACGGCGCCCGAGGGGACAGCCTGCAGCCTCCAGGGAAGAGGGAGATGGTTCTAGAGGAGCAGAGCCGTAGAGATACACCCCCAGCGGGCGGACTTCGCTCTTCCCGGTCCTCCTGTGAGGTGAACCCTGGGTGCTGCTAGGGTGCGCACAGTCGTGCGGGGCCAGTGCTGGGCTCGGTCCTCCTGGCTTCCCACCGGCACCTGTTCCCCAGAGCAGCGGCCGCTGACGGACACGTGAACTGTCCAGGGTGACCGCCGCGGGTGACAGGCCGCCCACCCCTCTGGCTGCGGCGCCCGGCCCTGGGGCGTCCCCCTGCCGACCTCACGGGGTGAAGGCTGCGCAACAGTCGCTGTTCTAGCTCGTCCTGTTGGCAGGATAGTAAGATACCTGATTCCCGGATGAAGAGTCCTTTAATGCGTTTTATTTAAAAACCAGGTTGGGGGGGTCTCCATTCCCCAGGACCCCGTGGCTTCATCGCACCGGGTGCGCCCGGAGCACAGGCAGGTGTCCCCAGGCCCGATGTCCGTGCTGGTACACGGCCGCCCGCTAGCCGGTGCCGACCTGCGGGAGATGTAGGGAGGCCCCGCTCCCCTGCCCCGAGTGGAGCCGGGCGACCGAGCCCCACTCCGCGGCCCCCGCCCGGCGCGCCCCGCTTTGCATGCCAACTACACCGAGGTGGACGCGACCTTCTTCCTACGTGTGTTTTCCCGACCATGCCCATCACAGACGTGTGTAGGCCTGTCCGTCGTAAACTAACCCTCCTTCGTTAGAGTGATTGATATTCTCGTACTCGGACCATTTCTGTGTTTTAATGCTGGGCTGTCTTCTCTGCCTCTCCTTGTCAAGTTCTTGCCATGCATGAGAATGTCCTCAAGTGTCCCACTCCGGGCTGCACAGGGCGAGGGCATGTAAATAGCAACAGGAACTCTCACAGAAGGTAAGCAACGTGCTCCTGTGCCCCCAGACGCTGCGGGGTCGGTCCCCGACAGCCACACCCCTGCACACCTCCCCTCCCTGCCCCGGGGGACAGGGCACTTGTGGGGAGCTCGTGGGGGACGGTCCCCGACAGCCACACCCCTGCACACCTCCCCTCCCTGCCCCGGGGGACAGGGCGCTCGTGGGGAGCTCGTGGGGGACGGTCCCCGACAGCCACACCCCTGCACACCTCCCCTCCCTGCCCCGAAGGACAGGGCACTCGTGGGGAGCTCGTGGGGGACGGTCCCCAACAGCCACACCCCTGCACACCTCCCCTCCCTGCCCCGGGGGACAGGGCGCTCGTGGGGAGCTCGTGGGGGACGGTCCCTGACAGCCACACCCCTGCACACCTCCCCTCCCTGCCCCGGGGGACAGGGCGCTCGTGGGGAGCTCGTGGGGGACGGCCCCCGACAGCCACACCCCTGCACACCTCTCCTCCCTGCCCCGGGGGACAGGGCGCTCATGGGGAGCTCGTGGGGGGACGGTCCCCGACAGCCACACCCCTGCACACCTCCCCTCCCTGCCCCGAGGGACAGGGCACTCGTGGGGAGCTCGTGGGGGGACGGTCCCCGACAGCCACACCCCTGCACACCTCCCCTCCCTGCCCCGGGGAACAGGGCGCTCGTGGGGAGCTCGTGGGGGACAGTCCCCGACAGCCACACCCCTGCACACCTCCCCTCCCTGCCCCAGCGCTTGCGGAGAGGGAGCTCGTGGGGAAGGCAGCACATGGGGAAGGCAAATCCCAGGACCCCTTCCTGCAGAGCGGACTCTTCCCTGGTCCCACCCCCGGTGCCCAGTGCCCTCCAAGGCACCCCCGGGGCATGATACCCAAGGCGAAACAGCAGCCACCCTCAGGGCGCGCTCAGTTCCCCAGGGTGGGGAGGCGCCGTGCTGTGTGCACCGTGCATGGAGGGCTCACAAGCACGAGCCCTTGATGGTGTGTGACAGGCTAGGGGGCCCCTGAATCCCTGCCGAAGCCCCAGCCAGCAGCGTGGACACCAGCCAAGTGGGAGCAGATGCCGGGAGTGCGAGTGCGCGGCCGTGAGCCGGGTCCACAGGCGCGCTCGGGACCACACTCTAGCTCTGGACAAATTCCAGCCCTTTCCTTTCCTATTCTGACCTCTACCAAGTTGCTCGTCACGCTCAGATCCTTACCAAATTCCTCTTTATCAACCCCAGAGAGATTCGGTTCCAATGTGTCCCTGCTTTAGGCCTCGCGAGCTCACACGGAACTTTAAGTGAAGGAAACCGTTATGAGTTCCACCTTGGTCTTTGCCTGCCCGCCGGGTAAAGTGGGGCCGAGTGTTAAACTCACAAGGAGACGCACCACAACCGGCCAAAGCGCTACGGTCAGCGGCCCTCACAGGGTCAGCGGAGAGCTCCCGGCGCCCCCCGGCGAGCTGCTGTTCTTGGGCTTTGGGGGATCTCGGCCTGCCCGGGCGGCTGTCCTCCTCTCCAGAGACGGCCTGGAATGGAGCCTGTGTCCTCTTGAGCGACACCGAGTCCGGCTCGCTACCCCCGGACGGGGCTGAGTGTGCGCTACACACGGCGTGGCCGTGAGCGTTGACGGCTGGAGGCCAAGAGGAAACCCGCATGGTGCACCCATGCTCACCCCCCGCCCCGTCCACCCCCCCAGGAAAGCCCTCGGCAGGCGTGGGGAGCTGCGGCGGGGTCTTCTCGAGCCGCCCGAGGGAGAGCCCGGAGGGGTGATGGGGGTGCGGAGCCCTCACGGGAGGCCACTAACCCCCTTTCTGTGCCCGCAGCCTCTCCGGATGCCCTATCGCTGCCGCAGAGAAACTGGCAAAGGCCCAAGAGAAGCACCAGAGCTGCGACGTGTCCAAGTCCAACCAGGCCTCAGACCGCGTGCTAAGGTACCAAACGCGAGCATGTCGTCTGGGGACACCCAAGTGTAGGCGGCCCCGGGGCCCTGGGCGAGGCGGACGGCCTGGCCGGGTGGCGGGGCCGTGGGTGGTCGTCGAGCAGCTAAGGGAGCCCCCCAGGGGCCAGTGCAGGCGGCCGGCCACCTCCCCATCCCGCACTGTGTCCGCCCCCTGTAAGGTGTTAAATGAGACTCGTGGACAACGTGTGCCTGGTTTGCTCTCTGGCCTGGAAAATGTTTCATGATTCTCTGAACACTCGAGGGCGGGGAGCTCTGCGCCGCAATACACTGCCCGGGGTGACCTTTCCTCAAGTGGAGGACCCAGGGGCCTTGGCGCTTCTCCCCCTCCGGGGCCCCAGACACCACGAGGGGCGTGGGCGAGGCATCACCGCCCCCACCCGACCCGCGGGAGCCGCACGCAGGGCAGCGGCTCGGGGACTTCCCTGAACAGAAGGACCTCGCAGATCACCTGGCCCAACCCACTGTCTCAGGTTCAGGAAGGGAGATTCTCGGGAGGGGCGGAGGGAGAAGCCCCCGTCCCGGATCCCGCCGGCAGCTCTCCTTTCCACTCGCTCCCTTCAAACCCCGGGGGCCGCGCGGCCCTCGGTCCAGACTCATCAGTGGAGACCGCGGCACAGGCGCACCCCGCGTCCCGCATGGTCTCCCTCCGGCCGCAGCGGGGAGCAGGTGCCCGGGCGCAGGAGGCAGGCTCCCACCCAGAGGCGTTGGGTGGGTTCCACGCTTCGGGGTTACAGCGGGAGCACTGAGGGCAAGCTCGCACACACGCAAGTTTGCTTTCCTTATGCCTTTAGGATAAATCACTTGGGAAAAAGCACCGTTTAAGGGTCACGAACACCTGCGTGGTTCTGTTGTGCATTATTTAAAGCTTTCTGAAAGGATTTTACCCCAGTCAGTACAGACCCTCTTGTCCCTCAATAGAAAAGTTAATTGGATCTTGGGCAGCCCGGGTGGCTCAGCTGTTTAGCGCCACCTTCAGCCCAGGGCGTGACCCCAGGGTCCTGGGATCGAGTCCTGCGTCGGGCTCCCTGCATGGAGCCTGCGTCTCCCTCTGCCTGTGTATCTGCCTCTCTCTGTGTGTCTCTCATGAATAAATAAATAAAATCTTTAAAAAAAAAAAAGAAAGAAAGAAAAGCTAAAATCTCTCTTTTAAAAAAATTTAGTTATTTATCTGAGAGAAAGAGATAAAGTGTGCATGAGCAAGGGCAGGGACAGAGGGAGAAGCAGGTCCCCGCTGAGCAGGGAGCCCGATGCAGGACTCGACCCAGGACCCCGGGATCGTGACCTGAGCGGAAGGCAGATGCTCAACCCCCTGAGCTGCCCCTCCCCCCCCCGGGGGGCTCTGAAGAGTAAAAAATCTTCATGGAAAATGAGAAATACTTAAGTAGGCCAAAATAAGAAAATAAAAACCACTTATAACTCCTATTTAGAGATAAAGCCTCACCAAATGCGGGTGGGTGCTCTTCTGGGTGTCTCCGTGTGGGAGCTAGCCGCATAACACACCCCCCACGGCCCACGGCCCCCACCCCACTTAGTTACGGGGCGAGAAGCCTCTCCTGGGGCTCCGTCCTCCCCGCAGGCATGGGGCTGACCCCAGATCCGAGGGGAGCTAGGGAGCCGCCGGGGCTCAACGCGGCCGTCCCCTCGGCAGACGCCCACGGGGCCAGAGGGGAGCCTGGCCTGCGCCTCCTGGGGACCCTCCCAGCAGGCTGAGCAAGACACGTCCCCGCGGCAGACCCCACCTCACCCAGACACGGGCCTCCCTCTGATGCGGAGCCTGAAGCAACGGCCTTTGTTTTTTTTTACCTTATTTCTGTGGCTTCGTGGCCACGGGGCCCTTTCCACGGGCCGAAGTCCCGGAAAACCACAGCAAAGGATAGACGGACGATGAGTGTGCGCCGAAGCGGTGCATCTGCCAACACCGTGCCTCTGGCGGGGCAGGCGGGAGGGACCTGCAGCAACCGCGGCCTGGCCTCCAGGGCTGTCCCATGCTCCCGAGCACCCACGTCCCAGGACGGGAGGACCTGGTCTCCGTGGGGCACAGAGGGAGGCCCGGAGGGAGGAAGAGAGAACTGCCTTAGAGCCGCGCTCGTTGAACGAAGAGCTGAAACACCTTCCAGCCGAGTGCCCAACAGGGAGACCTCAGGGCTTCCAATCCCGTTCCAGTTCTCCGGCCCCTGGCCGCAGGGGGTGGACCCCATCACAGCCTCAGTTGGGCACCGGGGACCCCTGTCACCCCTGCCTCTGCTCCAGCCCCGCTCCTTCAGAGCTGGTCCTGATCTCCGATGGCTCGGGGACTGTGCCTCCCGCAGCCTTGCCCGCTGCGCAGAGCCGACCCCCCACCTGGTCCCAGGCTGCCAGGTCCCGCAGGCCCCGGGTTGCTGTTGGCGCCCCTGCTCCTCACCTTTGACCTCTGTGGCTCCTTTCCCCGGATCTTAACCTGTACAGCTCACCCTACACCTGGACCCTTAAAACAGCATCACACTCTGCATGCTGCCCGGAAACCCAAGGCAAGGGTTCGCTTCCCTTATGCGCCCCCACATTACCCACGACGCCTAAGGGGCGTCCACCCGGTCACCACAGTATTTCATTGATTTGACAAGAATAGGCTGCGTTAATGAAATCGAAATAAAGGTGTCGGTGATCCGATAAAGGTGTTAGCACGGGGGGAAGCTGGGTGAAGAGCAGAGGTAGCCCCTCCTCTCGGCGTGTCTGTTAAGTCTACGGTCATTTCCCAAAACAGTTTCACACTCTCCCACGTTACGCACAACCGGGTGGACACACACACGCACACAAAACAAGGTAGACCATTGAGGACTGAGCAATAACCGAGCGCTCCTCCGTTTCAAGACTTTATTCCCAAGTCTGGACAGCTGGGTGACTACCCGGTAAACCTCTCCCGCGTTCCATTGTCACGTCCAGCCACGAACCATTCTATCTCGCTTTGGGTCAGCCCATGTCCCTAAGAGGTTTTCTACATTTCTTCCTTTTTTAAAAATTTTTTTAAGATTAAATTCATGTATTTATTCATGAGAGACACAGAGAGAGGCAGAGACAGAGGCCGAGGGAGAAGCAGGCTCCATGCAGGGAGCCCGATGCAGGACTCGATCCCAGGACCCTGAGATCATGCTCTGAGCTGAAGGCAGACGCTCAACCGCTGAGCCACCCAGGCGTCCCTTTTTTAAATTTATTATTTTTATTTTTTTTTAAGGCAAATGTCTTATTGGCTCACGCCCTGTATTGTAACTCTTACTCTCTGAAACCGGTGTGAAAAGAACGCGTGGATGCAAGGTCCTTCCCGTCCTCACACCGCCCGAGTCCCACCCAGCCAGCCAGGGCTTCAAACAGAAAAAGAAATAAGGGAAAAAGCAAAATATCTTATTTTCTTCTTAACTGTGCCTGTCGGCCGTCGGGCTCAGGCAGACAGCCTGTTTGGTGCCGCGTCACCCCAGCACGCGCGGTCGTTCTGGGGCGGGTGGATTTGAGCCGCGTGCCCTCATCTCCACGCGCCCCGCGCGCGTCTTAGCTGCAGCCACGAGAGAGCAAGCTGCCGATTGTTTCTTGTTTGTTCACAGGCCAATGTGCTTTGTAAAGCAGCTCGAGATCCCTCACTACGGCTACAGAAACAACGTCCCCACGACCACGCCTCGCTCCAACCTGGCCAAAGAGCTGGAGAAGTATTCCAAGACCTCGTTTGAGTACAACACTTACGACAGCCATACTTATGGCAAGCGGGCCATAGCTCCCAAGGTGCAAACCAGGGATATATCCCCCAAAGGATATGATGGTAGGAGGTGCACACTCTTCTACGTGAGAGTCACGCTTGCCGTTAATAATGTTGTTGTTGTGTGTATCCGTTTCCTACAAACCGGTCGAGCAGGTGGTCACTTGACGGGTGCCCCGGAAAGCCGACCCCAGGTGGGGGCGTGCCCGTGTGCTCGCGGGCCTGGGTGAGCCCCGCCTGCAGGAGGGAGGAAGATGCCCGCCCCTCAGGGTTTCCAAAGCAGCACGTTCTGGCCGCTTTCAGAATGTGCAGAGAGCCGTCGGCTCACCTGCTTCCTTCCCGCTGTTGCCTCGGAGGTGTCTTTGCACTTCCCGTAGACGAGGGCCCAGCACCCATCAACCTGGGACCGCCAGAGGGAGCACACGGAGTTCTTGGCCCTTTTGGGAAACCCTGCATTCCCTCGGAGTTCTCGATCTTGGATGCACATTAGATTCATCTGGGGAGACGTTAAGCATCCTCATGCCCAGGCTGCACCCTGGACCAGTTAAATTGAAATCCCTGGGGGAGGGTGGGGAGGCGGGGGGGGGCTGCCTCTATGGCGACATTATCTAAGTGACCAGTGATTCCAAGGTGCACCCAAGAGCAGAAACTTCTGCTGGTGTCACCAGGCCTTCTCCTGGCAGATGCCGGCCCTGGCCTGTTTCCCCGTGGGGAGTGGGGCCGGGCAGGGCCTCCTTTTATGACCTAGCTACTGTGCATCCACCAAAAACAAAAAGCAGGTAGAACCAATAAAAACCACCTGCTTCTCAGGGGGTAGCTTGTTTCCCCTCGTGGGTCCCGGGTCCTCTGCCAATGATTCGAGCTAGCCCCCACGGCTTCCCTGCGCTAACATGGTAAGTCGTTGAACGCGGAAGGGATGACTGCATTTCTCTGATGTCACGTGTTTATCTAACCACATTTCTGCTTCAAATTCTAGGATATATGGGCTGAGTGGGCAAATTTTCCTGACTGGGATGTGGGTTGTACAAGTTTTGATGATTTTTAGGTCTTATCTGGGTGTTCTGTAGCAGAGGCAAGGAGATGGGCCTTTAAAGATCTTTTAGCTCCTCTCTGAAAAAGACACGTAATTAAAATCACAGCAAACAAAAAATATTTGTTTAAATCGAATGCTTGGGGAGCTCCAAAACCTCTTTACGATTCAATGTGAGTCGTTGCACATGTTTCTGAGTTATGTGAGTTATTCTTTGCCTTAATGACAATTAATGTGTATAGTGGGTGAAATTTAGTATATCTTCGATGTATCGTATATTGATTATCCTCGTGTGTATCAATTCTTAATATAGAGGAAAAAAAATGTAAGTGGAAAAAAAGAGAGTGGCTTAGGGTATAACAGAAAATAATTACTTTGGTTTTATTTTATCATAATGATTTTCCGATTTCCAGTTTGCTATGACTTTATCCGTTTGATTGCAAACGAAGGATCAGAAATATTGAATTCGCATAATTAAGAATTCTGCTTCTACCATTTCCAACTCAGCAATATTTCACAGTGATCTGGGGAGGAGTTCCACTAGATGTTGGTCTTCCCACACCTGTTTGCTGCTCTTGTTCTGTGGCCTGATTTCCTTGACCTCGTCATATGGTTGGATTTTGGGTGAGGTCATGACCAGTAGGGCACATTTTCCTGCTTACAACACCCTTTGGTGGATAAGAAGTCAAACCTACCAGGGTCTATTCTCAGCTCTGCCATTTAGGAGCTGTGTGATATTTGGCAGATTAATCTTTCCGTGTGTTCGTTTCCCCAAGAACGGAGTGGTAGTAACAATTCCCATCCTTTGGACCCCATGGAGCTGTTGTGAGATCAGCTGACAGCTCTAAAGAGCTGGACAAACTTTTAATTACTGGCATTCATTCTTACCCACCCAGAAAATACCTGTTGTCGGAAACCTTACCTGAGCCAAGCTCTTCAACTGGCCCCCAAGGAACCCAGAATATGGAACAATATTAGGCCTTTAAGAAACCAGAAAAAGGGAGAGAGGGCAGGGAAAGAAAGGCAGCCTTTTACCATAATCTACTGAGAGGAGCATCAGTGACTCCATTTCTTTCACACTAGATTCATCTGACAGACTTTTTAAACATTAAAGAAAGTTCCCATTAAGGATGAGACCTGCCAGGTCAGTTTCCTTGGTAGGATGTAAACTGAGAGCAGGCAACAGGCAGGAGGCACCACAGAGTAATTGCGGTCTGTGGTCACCCTACAGGAATGTCCTCCTCATGGCTTGTTGCAGATGCAGAGAGCTGGGTCATCGCTCCTAAAGAGTCAGGGTGGGAATGAGCCTACCATAGGGGGAAACATTACACTTGGGAGCAAGGGGAAGGGCCATGGAGATGCCCAACAGGATAGAAAAATAGGACCTTTCTCCCCAGTCTTTGGATATCACACCTTAGATCCCACCACCTGTGCTGAAAAAAACACTCGACACACATTGATTTACCTGCATGCATCCTTCCAGACACTGGCTAGTTGCTATCTTTCTGTCTGTCTGTCTGTCTGTCTATCCAGAAATCCAACCAATGACCCATCTATCCATTCATCCATCTATGTATCCCTCCATCTGTGCATCCATCCATCCACTCGTCCACCCATCTATCCATCCACCCATCCACCCATCCACCCATCCACCCATTCACCCATTCACCCATTCATCCATTCATCCATCCACCCACCCATCCATTTGCCCATCCACCCATTCATCCATCCACCCATCCATCTGCCCATCCACCCATCCACCTATTCATCCATCCATCCATCCATCTATCCATCCATCATCCATCCATCCACTCATCCGCCCATCCACCCATTCATCCATCCACCCACCCATCCATTTGCCCATCCACCCATTCATCCATCCATCTACCCATCCATCTGCCCATCCATCCACCCACCCATCCACCTATCCACCCATCTACCCATTCATCCATCCATCATCCATCCATCCACCCATCCATCCACTCATCCACCCATCTACCCATCTGCCCATCTACCCATCCACCCATCCACCCATTCACCCATTCATCCATCCACCCACCCATCCATTTGCCCATCCACCCATTCATCCATCCATCATCCATCCATCCGCCCATCCGCCCATCCACCCATCCACCCATTCATCCATCCATCCACCCATCCATCCACCCATCCATCTGCCCATCCACCCATCCACCTATTCATCCATCCATCCATCCATCTATCCATCCACTCATCCGCCCATCCACCCATTCATCCATCCACCCACCCATCCATTTGCCCATCCACCCATTCATCCATCCATCTACCCATCCATCTGCCCATCCATCCACCCACCCATCCACCTATCCACCCATCTACCCATTCATCCATCCATCATCCATCCATCCACCCATCCATCCACTCATCCACCCACCTACCCATCCACCCATCTACCCATCCACTCATCCACCCATTCATCCATCCATCCATCCATCCATCCATCCATCCCTCCAACCATCCACCCATCCACATATTCATCCATCCATCCATCCATCCATCCATCCATCCATCTGTTCATCCATGCATCCACCCAACCAACCACTCGGCTGTCTATCTATCATGTATCATCTATCTCTTCTTTCCCTCTGGAGGACAAGCTTTCAGGCAGAGTTGGAGAACAAATGGAAGACAGTGAGACATGCTCTCATGCAGACAGTGAAGCAAGGAATTCATTCTGGAGGAATTAGCAGGAGCTTTATCAAAATGGCTTGATCGTGAGCTTGAGTAGAAATTATGCAAAGGTAGAAGATCCATGTGTTGGTAGGAAAGACCTGTGGCCTGGAGAGGTGCCTGAGAGCAGGGACGGGCACCTGTGGGACAGGTGAGGAGATGGCTGTGCGTCACCCACCATGCTGAGGAGCTTGAGGCGCTCTCCTGTAAGATATGGACATCCACGCACCAGGGCAGTGAAAGAGGGAAGGCGGGAAAGGACAGAGGTTCCCAAACATGTATGTCGGCCTTGCCGTCTCCCTGAGCACCAGCATCTCCCCCAGCCTGTTGGTTACAGTGACCTCAGAACAGCTCTGATGTGTTGAAGTTGTTGGATAAAAAAGAAGAGTTTGTGACACGTAAAAATCATGTGAAGTTCAGATTTCAGTGTCCATCGGTAAAGCCACACAGGCCCCAGCCGCCTGCCTCCATTTGGTCAGTGACTGGTTTCACACAATGAAACCGCAATGGCAGAGCCGAGCGGTTGTGCCAGAGACCATGGGACCCGTGAAACCTAGACTATTGTCCAGTCCAGAAGGACTGTAAGGGCACATTATCTACCCCGTATGTTAATAGATAAGAAGGCGGACATTCCCAGGCAGAAACAGCTGCCAGACCAGTGTAAGACATCTCCACGCATGTCTCCAGGCGATACATCACTACCCCGAGCTTTGTCTAGACCCGCAAGTTCCCAGAGGCCCCAAGGACTCCCCACATGAGCCTCCCTTTCTGTCATTCCAACCTCCAAACTCTCCAAGCTAAACACTTCATAATGGGCTTTGAACTTCCTCTCTGCTCCCCAAACTCAGGGCCACCCTGAGGAGCTCAACCTCCCATCTGTCACCCCGGCCCCCATCCAGGCCCCCGCCAGCAACGGCTCCCGGAACTGCTCAGGTGGCCGCCCAGTACCCCTGCCCCCAGCCGGCGCTCCCCAGAACGCCCGCCCTCCTCCCCCCCCCTGCTGGTGGGCCGCCCTGCAGTCCAGCTGCCCCACAACGTCTCGGCACTCGGTCCTCGCTGACGCAGCCCGGCCCGCACTCAGTAGCCCTCCTCCTGACTTCACGGTGGCGCCCGTGCAGAACCGGGCAGCTGTTCTCGCCCGCATGCAGCTCTGGGTCTCGCCCCTGCAGTTTCACGGGTAAACGGCCTATCTTCCCACTGGATTGTAAACCCTGTCCTCAGATTAAACCCCACAGTGGCAATGCTGGCTGTGTAGACACTACTTACTGTCCTAGTGGGAGAGTGGACATGAAGAGTCCGTGCTGGGACTTGATGCGTTAGGTCACGTGAGCAGAGTGTGTGCAGACCCCGTCTAACTGTATCCTCACGAGGAAGCTCCTCCTCCCACCTAGCACTGCATCCGCCTCGGTGCACTGAGGACCGCGCAAACCTGCGTGGGCACCGTGAGAGTCGGTGCTGTGCTCGAGGGCGCACGGCCGTCCGAGTCCAACCAGGTCCGCCCACGGGGTAAACCCCCAGGGGGTGCCTCCAGACCGTCCTCTTTCCATGTGGTCCTCGTGGAAGTCTGGGCTGTAAGGACACATTGTCTATCCCTATGTTAATAGATAAGAAGGCGGATGTTCCCAGGAGAAGGAGATGCGCACATTTGGTGAGACTCTCCTGAGCAGAGCGGGGTCGTAAGAAGGCTCTGGCTGGAACGTGGCCGTTTTACTTCTTTTAACTTGTCATCTTTAGCCAATAGAAATCCCACGGAGTCGTTCTTTGTCCTGCAAGAGAGGGATAGGATGCTGGAAGAGGGGGTGTCTCAAGGCGGTGCAAGGCCTAGCGGGCTGTCCCTGCAGCCGCACGCGGGGGTGGCACGACCGGGGACAGGCCGGCTCCCAGAAGGACAGTGGCAGGGCCTGGCTGCCGGGTGATTGGAAAGGGAAATGCGTTTTGTCGTGGTCAGTGGTCAGTGATGCTGGCTTTGGGAGCAGTTCACGAACAGGTGACAGTTACGAGGCCCGAGGACCCCCCCCCACCTGACACGTGGAAGGGTCCGTGCCTCCTTCCACTTGAACGAAACAAAGCCGTGCCTGCGCTCAGGGAAGGCCGTACGCCCCTCCGGGTCAGGCCCGCCGGCCGATCGGCCCCAGGCCCTCCCCGCTGGCCTTCTGCCCCGACCCACCGACGTGGCGCCAGCCGGGGACTCGACGACAGCCGGGGAAGGAGGCGCACTCTGCCCAGGGGTGGCTGCTGTTTGCTGTACAGACGATGGATGCCCTGCTTCGTTCTTTTAGAAACTGCAATTTGCTCATTTCAAACTGAAATGGCCGTTTTTCTTATTTATGTGCATTACGTCTCTTTCCCGCACCAGTGGCTAGCCCTCGCCAGGGAAAGGACCCCTCCGAGGCACTGTGTCACCCCTCCCACAATCTTTACACTCCTATTTTTATGCCAAGACTGTAAATGGTGTAAAACCCCAGACTTCAGTCCCCGCGCAGAGAACCACGAGCCGCTGCCCCCTGCGCGGGTCCCCAGGGGCGGCCTCTCCAGGGAGGGTCTCTGGGGCCCCACGGGGCACTCCGTGCCCACACCCCAGACCATGCCCTCCACCACGCCGCACCATCCGCTGCGTAGGCAAGGTGCATTCACGGAGGGATGCGGAAGGGAGGTCATGTCGCAGACACAGCAGCAAGGGTGCTGGTTAGTCCTCGCGGAGCGGGACCCGGCCCGCAGGGCTCCTCGTGCTGGGGGTCTGAGTGGTGCGGGCCACCCTCTGGTCCACGCGAGGGGACCCGCCTGTGCGGTGGCTCTGTGACGTTTGGTGGGGGCCTGGGGCCAGTGGCGCCCCCGAGGCTGCGTGTGCTGTGCCTGCATCTCTGTGCAACCCGGTGGCACAGTGAAAGCACCGTCTTTGGTCCAAAGTGGAAAGGCACCAACGATGAAAGCTTAGGTACTTTTTCACTTGTAGCCGAATAAGGGACTTTGGGCAATTCCTTGGCGTAGCTCGTGATGACCGACCGTGTGTGAGGTCAGCTGTCGAGCTCCGCTCTGCTGGCGCCTGCCCTTTGGGAGGAAGGCATTGTGCGTGTCCTCCGAAGGGGCTACTCGGGTTACAGAGGGCTGGTGACAGCGCTGGACACCCAGGGCGAGCCGGCGAAGCTCGCTCTGGAAGGGACGTCCAGAGGTGCACCTGGGGTCGTGCAAGAGTGGCTCGCAGGTGGAGACGTCTTGGGGGGTTCCTGCGCCCCCCCCGGGTTCACCCGCTAATTCCTCCCTGTGCAGGACTCCGGGGGGGGGTGACCTGACTGCCCTGCAGGTGGGCACCCTGTGACCCTGCTGCCCTCGGCATTGGCCACAGGGCCCTAACAGATCACCTGCAAACGTTGTCCCCACCCGTGGGCCGGAGGACACTTCCAGGGGGAGAAACACTGGCTGCCCCGGGCCTGTGCACCGTGGGTGACGCAGGTTGCTCACAGGGCGCCCTGCCAGCCAGGCTCCATCCCTGCAGGGAGGCGGGGTGACGTGTGGCGTGCTGTGGCCACCCCACCCTGCTTACCTGGGCTGGGCCCTCTCCCTGGGCAGGCCGGTTCCCCTGTGGGGCTCTTTACTAGACGCACAGGGGAATATTTTTCTTGAGGAAAGGAGTGTTTCCGTCACTCGTGCCCAGCTGGCAGGCCTCCCCCAGAAGCACAGGAGCGTGTGAGGCTACGCCACCTGCACACGAGACAGGGAGCCCCCGCTGGCCGCTGAGGCCCCTCCTGGCTGGGAGGAGCGGCCGGCCTCTTGGGGGACAAGGTCTGTGGGGTCCCCCTCGCCCACTGAGCCGATGGGCAGTCGTGACGGGGAGACCCCCCCCCACGGGCCTCGGCCAGACCGGGGTTCCGAGCACTCCCCGACGTCGGGCAGCCGAGTCCTACTCGGGTGTGGCCACCGCAGCCACGTGTGGCCTGGCACAGAGGCGCCTGCGCCCCTGCTCCCCCAGCTGTGCCGGGAAAGGCCAGACGGGCTCTTCCCCCGACAGCTCGGGCACCGCGTGTCCCCAGGGCCGGCGGGAGGGGTGTGCGGCGGGTGGCGGGGCGCCGTGCCCTGCTCTGCTGTGGCCCCGGCGGCGGGGACCCAAGTCATCCGTGTCCCCGTGTCTCCCCAGCGAAGCGGTACTGCAAGAACGCCAGCCCCAGCAGCAGCACCACCAGCAGCTACGCGCCCAGCAGCAGCAGCAACATGAGCTGTGGCGGAGGCAGCAGCGCCAGCAGCACGTGCAGCAAGAGCAGCTTCGACTACGCGCACGACATGGAGGCGGCCCACATGGCGGCCACGGCCATCCTCAACCTGTCCACGCGCTGCCGCGAGATGCCGCAGAACCTGTCCACCAAGCCGCAGGACCTGTGCGCCGCGCGGGTAGGCCCACCGGGGGGCACCCTCCTGCCGGGCCTGGGGGGGCGCGTCCCCGAGCTGTCGGCCCCTGGAGCCCGGCCGCTGCACGTGCTGATACCCTGAGGCCTGCTCGCTGGGGGGCGGGGGGGGGGGCGGCGCGTGGCTTCGCGGGGAGTGGGGCGCCTGGTTTGTGAACCAGGGGAGGTTGTCAGGCCTGTTGGACGAGACCAGTGCGTGGACCCTCCTCGTCAGGGTCCAGAGGACACCCAGGGCCCACACACCATTTCACACGGCTGCACAGAGAATAGGAAACTAATGGGGCCTACACACGAGGAGGGTGGGGGCCCTGCTGTCCAAGAAGGCGCAGGACTGTCCCCTGGCTCCCAGGGAGTCGCTCAGGACTAGGAAACAAAGACAGTACGAGGACGGGTGGGCGGGCGGACCATGCTGTCCCCTCCTCTGCAGAAAACAAAGGGACCCCCGCAGTCCTAGGGCGGCCTGGCCATGCAGCGGGAGCGCCCGACCCTGACGGCGGGTGTCGGAAGCGATGGTAGTTTGTAAGAATGGAGAAAGGTCAGTCATTTCGTGCTTTGCAAGTGCTTTCTTTTCTATTAGTATTTTATTCCTAGAGTTTGGGGCAGTGTCGGGGCGCGTGCGGTCTCTGTGTGATCAGGGCCGCCGAAAGCCAAGGCTAGCGTGGAAGAGGCAAGGAGAGAAAGGAGAAAAAGCAAGCAGGCGAGCAACCCCTTCCGATTTTGTCTCCGGCTTATCAAAGCCAAGACGGGGGACGGAGGCCGAGTGCCGCAGGCTCCATCAGCGGCAGCAGGAGCGCGCCCCCGGGAGGAGCGCGGCAGGACCACGATGCCCGGGTGTCTCGAGGCAACGGCCTGCGCGGGGCTCCGGCTCCCAGCAGCCTCCCTCCTCTGCTGCATCCAGAGGAAGGAGCCGCGAGACCCCCGGAGACGCGGCGGCCTTCACGCCAGCCCTGGAGCCAGATCCTTGCTCGAGAGAGTGGAACTCTCCGGGAACGGGGTGGGGGGCGTTGGCACCATGTCTCGCTCCGTCCTCCGCGTGTCCTTCCTCGTGTCCCTCCTCCTGAGAGGCGAGCTCTCGAGACTTCTTCATCTGTTTGAAAGCATCATTTAAGAAAAAAAAAGAAAAGAAAGAAAAAAGAAAACTCACCCCGTACCTCTTCACTTTTTTGAGCCGGTGGGCTAAATTGCGGGTTTGTGGAGACGCGGAGCGGGTCAGGCCATGGAAGTACTTAGAACAGTGACTGCGCGTCTCCCTCCCCCAGGACAGAAAATACTCTTCATCATGGGATTCCGTGTTGGGAAGCGAATTCGGCTGCCCCCCCCCCCGCTTCCTCCGTGTCTCCCCCCTCCCCGAGTACTCACATCAGGGACACGGAAGGAAGGACAATGTTTTTTTTTTTTTTTGGAAGGACGATGGTTAAGCGTAAACACGCATCTGTCTCTGATCTCTTAAACGTTATTTGAGCTGGAATAGAATCGAGATTAGGCGCTCGTTTGATTTTCCTCCGGCGAGGCTTATTTCTAAAAGCAGATCTGTATTGCAGAAAACAGAAGATAAAGATGGATGGTAAATACGCGGTAGGTCTGTGATAGGTAAATAGGTAAGGACAGAGGGAGACGCAGATGGCAGGTCGTCGGTGGGTGACCAGACGCGTGCACCTGCCAGCCGCCGCGGGGGCTGAGCGCGGGCCCCCGCTACGTCCCCAAAGCACCCCTCCTGCCTCCCTCGGGAGCCCGTGCGCGGGGGCCAGCGGGAGGAATCCGCGTCCGGAGCCCACTCGGGCTGAAGGCAGGGCTGCGGGGCGGCGGGTGGAGCTGCCTGGTTACCGTGTCTCTCTGTCCAGCAGAACCCTGACATGGAGGTGGACGAGAACGGGACTCTGGACCTCAGCATGAACAAGCCACGGCCGCGGGAGAGCTGCTGCCCGGTCCTGACGCCCCTGGAGCCCATGTCCCCCCAGCAGCAGGCGGTGATGGGCAGCCGGTGCTTCCAGCTCGGGGAGGATGACTGCTGGGAGCTGCCCGTGGACTACACCAAGATGAAGCCCCGCAGGGCGGACGGGGGCGACGCCAGCGAGGTCCCCGTACGTGCCCCTCACCCGCCGGCCGGCTCGGGGCATGGGATGGGGCGTCGGTGGGCGCGCTTAGTGTGGCCTCCGCGGCCTGGGGCCGACAGCACACTCCGCCGACCGTTCACCGACGGGGCGAAACCAACCACACACTCTTTTCAACGATGAATCTTATTTTCTAACAAGCGTGCTCTGTTGCAAACGATTTCTCTAGGGAAATAGGTAAACAGCAGGCCGGTCCGTTTTCCTGGGTGACATACTGCTATGGGGGCTGATTCCCGTTGCAGAGAGAGAATTAGAACGTCTTCGGTTCTTGCACGTGCACGAGCTGGCCCTCGGACGCTGAGGACAGCGTCTGTCCTCCAAGAACCTAAAATACTCAGAGGAGTGTATACCCCAGCCCTGAAAAAAAAAATCATTTTAGTGCCTAAAATCACCTAAATCGTTGTCGAGCACAGTATTACCAAACACCTGTGTCACGAACATATTTTTGAAGTGGAGACCTGCGATCCGAAAATAGAGCTTTCCTGGGGAACCTTTCCTAAGCCAAATGGCACGAGGTAAAGGAAAGATTAACCCCTCATTTATGTAGAAAATATTTTGAGCGTTCCTAGACCTCAAAACTCAGCTCTCCGGCTTTTCTGAACCTTGGGACTCCCCTTGCTAACAGATGCACCCACGACCTGAGATGACGCCCAGAGGCGCCCAGACGCAGCCCAGAGCTCCGGAGCCGGGCGCCAAGGTGGAGCGTGGTCTCGGGGCAGGTGCCCGGCGGCAGCTCACTGCAAAACCAGCCCCGGACGCTCTTCGCCCTCCTTGCCTTTTTTCTGTAAAAGCAAAACTCCTCTTTGGGTGTCTGTCCATTAGCAAAAGCAGGTTCCAAAGGGGTCTTTCCTCAGGGCCAAGTGGTGTGCGTGGTGAGCTCTGGAACGGTGGGGGACACCTGGAGCTGTTACAGTGTTCACGTTCGAGTTGCTAAAATAGTTAAAATACCCTTTAGCCTAAGAAAAGAAATGAAGAAAAGCTTGTTCTTTATTGTACTGGCTTTTTCTCCAGTGTTCCACTCTGGAAATCATGACATCTTCTTTATTCACTGAAAAATGAAAATCCTCCTTGAATACAATAGGGAGACCACCATCAAAGCACTAGCTCCTCACAGAAACAAGGAAGCGCAGAAAAGGGGAACATTAGCTCTTTGTGGGAATTGGCAGGAGAGGCACCTGGTTATCAGGCCCTTACATCTTAAAGCCTATTATCTTTATTCTTCAAATCGATTTAAGTATCCAGGCATTGCGGAAGAATAGAGTCTGAGCGGCAAGGTAAATTCCAAAGTATTCTTTTCTCTCCCACGGTGTTAAGTCACTGCCACCAAACAAGGGGTGGCGGTTGAGTCTCTGAATTTATTTTAATTAAAATTAAGGCCTCCTAAATCGACAGTCTTGCCGTCATACAGACTGTCCCGGAAGTAGGCGCAGCGCCCGGGTAGTCACGAGGCACGTCTGCTGAGTCCCGCCACCTGTAGGAGCCTCGTAGTTACTTCTACCAGAAGTAGACACTTGTTCTGAGGAAGAAAATACTGCATAAGAATAATCGGGAACCACGGCATTAATCCCAGGTGGTCTTGCCTTCCGTGGGGCCCAACACACGCGTGCAGAAAGCTCCCCGGGGGTTGGGAGAAGCTCTGAGTGCCTTTAGGGTTCGCGTGAAGCTGTGCAGGGCGGTGCTGTAGGGGAGCGTCGTAGGCCGGCAGGTGCTTACTGGACAGTGAATCAGAAACACCAGCTACCCAGTGGGGTGTCTGGTTCCAAACCCGCCATCTGGCCCGTATACGTGCCCCGCCCCCCGACAGGTGTGAATCTAGACGCTTAGAGCAGTTGGTGAGCAACTGAGGTCCGCTCTGGAGATGATGCTCTTTGAACAGAGTCCAGCTTTGTCCTTTCAGAAGGGGCCTCGCCGGGACACGGGTGTGGAATGGTTTAACGGGCACGGTCGGTTGGAAGAGGAGGAAAGCGCGGGGCGGCCGGCGCCGCTGGGGGGACGTGGGTCGCGCGGTCACCTGCGCGGCCCTGAAGCTGTGTTTTGCCTGCAGCCGGAAGACTTGGACCCGTTCCAGGAGGCTCTGGAGGAGAGAAGGTACCCGGGAGAGGTGACCATCCCCAGCCCCAAGCCCAAGTACCCCCAGTGCAAGGAGAGCAAGAAGGACTTAATAACGTAAGCATAACTGCAGGTGACATGGCTGCTCTTAACTGTCCCTTTCTTTGGCTTATTCTTAAAAACCGATCTGTACATGCCTTGCCGTTGGAGCATGCGACGTTCGCAGCACATAAATGTCTCGAGCTGCCGGTTCAGTGGAGCGGGAGGCCGTGTGGCTCGCTTGCTCCCGGGACGCTCTGTGTGATGGAGACGCCTTTGCCATGTGGTCGTGCGTTTTTGCAGCTTCCCCTCAGGGCGCCTAAACCCCCTTGCAGACATTGCAGCTAAACTGGAAACAATGAAACGTTCTTAAAGTCTTTTTTTTTTTTTTAAACATACTTACTATTTTGGCTGTTCTTGTTTTTGTTTGGTGGCAGATGTCCAACACCAAGGTGTGATGGGAGTGGTCATGTGACTGGTAATTACGCCTCACATAGAAGGTGTGACTTCATTTTTCTCATGGTGGATTTTGTCTTTTCAATTTATTGTTTTCAGCTTACCTCAACAATGCTGTCAAAGTGCAAACGTCGAATTACGTGTCAACCCTCTAAGTGCTATATGTTGACCCACGAAAGCACGCTCCCTGGCGTGTCGTACGGTGTCCTTTAGATGCAGGCAGACTGCCTCGATTCGGAACACTTTTCACAAACATTTAAGCCGAGGAGCGCAAATTCTTTTATATTATCCTCCAAAAACTGTTTATTAACAGACACATTTTCTTCCAAGAAGAAAATCATACAAAAAAAAAAAACAAAATAAAACAACAAAACAAAACAAACAAAACAAAAAAAAATTCAATATACAGCACTTGCCCCATCGCTTTTCTGCATTAAACTTTTTAGTTTCAATTTTATGTTGTGTTTGTCCGGGAGCGTCAGCTGGCGGGAGCGGCTACTCACCTGACTCTTCTGGCCTGTCTTACAGTCTATCGGGCTGCCCCCTCGCCGACAAAAGCATTCGAAGCATGCTGGCCACCAGCTCACAAGAACTCAAGTAAGATTTCATGAAAATCGTTCTTTTAAGACTCTGTTCACCCAGTAGTCACAAAACGGATGTGTCATATGTAAACAAAAGTGTCTTTAAAACAAAACAAAACAAAACAAAACAAAGCACCTGTGCACGCAGCGCCTCCACAGCACACACGACCGGGTCCTCGGGACGTTGGTCACCTTTCCGGACAGTCTCTCCGCCTCTTCCCTCTCATTTGTCTCTAGTGCTTTCATGCCATAGCTTCTCTATCCTGGATTTTCTAAGGCATAAGTAGTTTCCGTCCTGATACGCACGCACACGGGAGGGGAGTTGGACAAAGGTCCTCAGACTTAGGAAGCGACTGTAACCTAAACAGTGAAAAATTGATTTTTTTTTATAAGTCAGTAATTAACATAAGTATTTAAAATATAGGCATTTAAATAGTACTAGTAATAAAAAAAAAAAGAAAGAAAAGAAAAACCTCACCACGATAATAGCTACCTCCCTACGTACGCTGTGGTCGTAGTTGCAAAGACTAGGTCACGATTCCTGCCGCACTCATGGGCACACCAGGCACTGCCCGGCACTCAGACACACCTCCCCCCAGCCACTGGCTCCCCTCCTCCCCATGCCTATAACTTTGTATTTTAAGCATAAATCTGATCACTCACATTTATAGCACCAGACTAAGGTTTCTCTTCTTTGTACATACAGAACCACATGCAGCTCCCATGCAGGTTTTGGAAGGAGTCAGTACCAGCCCTAGAAAGCGCCGGAAAGCCTTCAGTGCTCTAGTCCGAGGAGGTGTAGGGCGCATGTCAGGGAAGAAGGGCGACACCTGAAAGACGTTTCATGACATAATGAGAACCAAGAGCCCCAAATAATGATTTTTTTTTAAATTCCTGACATGCTATAAATATCATCGTGCCCAACTTGCTTGGCTTCCGATTTTGTCTGGAAACTGCTTTGTTACCAATGTAGGAAAAATGCTCCTTCGAGACCCTGTTTGATTCCCTTCCCAGGGATTCCACCCCACATCCCATCCCGCTGCGATAGACCAGGGCTGTCTCGGAGTCTAGGGCTCTGTTTCACATCATGTCATTTTTTACAGGATCCCTGTCCAAGGCCCTAGCGCCATAGATCACCTGCTCATGTTCAGTGACCTCCTGAACTAGCCCTTCCATCACAAGACTCTTGGCGTTTTCTTCATGGCGTGTAAACACCCGGAGGGCATCCTCTTACTTAAAGTCTGTAGTGTCATCCACGCAGTGCCTAATGGACAAATAGCTTTTAGAACCTCAAAGCGGACAGACTTAGCAAGAACAACTCAACCCACTTTGTTAAGACATCTTTTTCCATGGCTTAAACCCATACTTCCCTCACGATCAAATGTGATTAACTGCACTTGGGACGTGGCCAACACATCAGACCATGGCAACTTTCCTTTGAATTTCTTGCTGAGGAACACTTTGCAAAAGTTTGGCACATATCCAGTTCCAGCAGGCCAGCCGTAACCAAGACGTAGCCTTTGTGCAACTGGTATCTAGGACTGCTTCTAACTGGTTAGCATCTCAACACCCCCAGAGACCAGAGTAGTTTTCTGAGGGGTCTAGCTGTTGCTGGTGTTCATCCCTTGACTTTGGGCTTAGAAGTTGGTGTTGACTCGAAGTTCCAAGCAGAGCTGCCACTTCTCCGGTTCCAGCACTTTCTTCTTCTCTTCTTTCATCATCTTGGAAGATGGTGTGATGGTCCTCACCATCCACATCTTCAGCGGGAGGTGGTTGGCCTTCGCGTCCTCCAGGGCAGTGCTGGAGTGGTCCATTCTCTCCATCCTGCCTCTTCCTGGATGGGAGAACTTGTCTTCGGAGAGGGGTGGCCTTTTCCTAATCGTGGTTGATCTAAAAGCCATACTCATTTGTAAACTTGTCTTTGCAACGAGTAAATCCCGTTTTGATTGATCCTTTCTGAGAAATCTAAACTTGACCAATTTTCCGAAATGGTCCCTTTTTATTGGTGAAGCTACAGGTTCCAATTAAACGTCTGCTGTTAAAAAGTCTAATATTTAAATGACTGCTTTTTACTTGATGATGAGCCTTTCTGAACAGAGGAAACCATAGATTACAACATTTGTTTTCCTTTAACCTCCTAATTGATGAGAACTCTCTATTTGTTGTTACCTTTAATCAGAGTCACGAAGGCCTTTTAGGTGGTTTTTCCTGCATGGGAGCATAGGTTGATCCCATAAAGATCTACAGCTGCTTTCTCTAGAATAGTCCCACGTGTGCCCTTCTCAGTAGATGCTTCTCGAGGTTTGGGCAATCCCTGCTGCAGCAGCCGCTCATGTGACAGAGTGAAATCACACTATTCATTGTAGGTGAACAATTTCGACTTCGTCACAAGGACATATTAGAACGGGGGGGGGGGTCCCCGGTAACCTCCAAAAAAAGTTCTCTATTGTGGAATTTCCTGGAAATATTCCTCTTGTCACATTTAACACTGGATTTTTATAGTGGGCCGTTAACAGGACGTTCTTGATCATGGATAGATGAGTTGTGCCGGATAAAGTCTTGGTCTTGGGTCCTCAAACCTCTTAAACTTCCTGAGATAACATTTTACTCTGATCTTACCCAGGGCAACACATTTGGGATGTTCTTAAAAAGAAGTGGATAATTTTATGCCTAACTATGTACAATATGTAAGCTGAAAATGTATTAAAATTCAGTGTGTACCTGAATACCACTCAAACTCCGGAGCTACCGCGTTCCTTGGTCCCTGGCCCATGTGGTGTAGACTACACAGTTCAGGGGCTCGGAGGGAAGCAGCAGGCAGGCCAGGAAAGCTGGCGCGGCGAGCAGACCGTTTCGGGTTGATGTGCTGTGTGTCACACGCATGTCCTGTGAACCTTCCTCCCCCTCGCCCTGCGGGTCCGAGCGTGACACCCACTGAGGCCGGGGGCCAGAGCCCTGCGGGTTGGGGGAGGGGCGGAGAGCGCCGCTCAGTTTAAAATGGTCTTTTGGGAAGACACTGTCTGCCCAACAAGAGCTGATTCTGAAGGGGGAGGTTTCTTCTCTAAAAATTCCGTTTGCTAAGATGACCTGAAAGGAGCAACGGGAAAGAGCTTGCAAGTCACCTCACAGGGTTGCCATCCTCTTTTTTTCTTTTTTTTTTTTTTTTTTTTTTTTTTGAGAAACCGCGTCCTCCTGCCAGGAGCGCTCCTGCCTCCAGACATCGCTGTAGACACGGGCATGATGTAGGTGCTTTAGCCATCTGAGGCTCCAATTTAAGCCAAATCAAAACCGATTTCAATCAGAGGCAATTAGCTCTAAAAACGGGCCCCCAAATTGGCTTCCATTTATACTTTGGTTGGCCAAATTTAGATACCTCTTTATTATTCGGATCTTTATCTCACGCAGCCCGGTTCCTGCCGCCAGTGAGCTCCGTGTGGAGCAGTAGAGGATGGCTCCACCTTTACTCCTTGGCGTTTGAACCTGGGTGTCGTTACCACGGGCGGGGGCCCTACGTGTTGGCTCTCTGCCCCTTGGAGGGCTCTCATGGACCCTGGAGCCTCGGGCATCTGTCCTGGGCACTTTCACCCGAGACACAGACGGCCTTTAGCGACATGTGCCCCAACACTCTTTTTTTCAACTTGGCTACATTTATTTAAATCAAAGAATTAAAAATTTTGACCTTGGGCCTCAATATGACTTTGCTCTAAAAGCTCCTTGTTTCTGGAATTTGCTAGGGCTTATTTTTGTAGGCAGTAGGAGGATTATTTACCAGGATCTCACGGAGCCGGCTCATCCGGCAGCTCCCATTGTTCACCAAGCAGGAAGTTCACCCACTTTCACTGCACACCAGCTCTTAGACATAATCCTCATTTCTCTAATCTTTCGCCTTCACGCTTTACAATAGTAAATCCACAGGACTTGGTGAATTAGCGCTGCCCTCGACTCGGGCCCGGCTCCTTCAGCGGGGGACCCACGTCCTTATCTGGAGGGGCGGCCACCGCTGAGTGAGCCCCGCTTCTGGGTGTCGGGAGGGGTGGCGGGGCTGTGGCCCTCCACACTGGGGGCAGGCACGTCGCACGCCGTCTTCCCCTTCAAAGAATGCTCCCAGGACCCCTCGTTTCCGTTCTCAAATTCATTTTGTTGTGCACAGTCCCGGCTGCTGGGAACGCAGAGCGGGAGCTGGGTTGCGTGTGGCCGGCAGGGGTAGGGGCAGGGGGCAGGAGCCCCCTACACCCAGCGGGGCGCCCTGAAGAGCTGGGGTGTCCCACTCGGAGGACGAGTGACAGTTTACAAGGGGCCTCTGCACGCGCCGTCTCCTCGGGGAGAAGCGCAGGCGGGGTCAGGCTGTTTTCCGGGTGTGGACGCCGCGGGGTGGGTGGTTAGGTGGCTCAGCGTGGACCCACAGGCTGTGAGGGGCAGTGACACTCTCGGACGGACACCTTCTCCCCTCGCCACAGCACCTGTCCAGATGGTGGCTGGGGGCTGAGCCTCGGTGATGGAGGCTGGAAGGCGCTGGGCCGCCACAGCCAGACACACGGCCGCTGTCCCCTCCCGGTGCCCCCCGGACGTGGCGTCTACACAGAGAACACCCGGGGCTGCTTGGCCACCGGCCGGGCACCGCTACCCAGGGGCACATCGTGTGTCGCCCCAGGTCCCCCAGGGAGCCTACCTCAGCACATAGGCTGCAACAACCATAGAAGGTTCATGAGGCCCGCTCCGTAGCATGTTTTTAAAATATCCTAAGAAATACATCCTGTTGCACATGGATTTTTTATTTTATTGTAATAAGCAAGACTGATTTAAAATAAGTGAAATATAAGAAACATAGGTAAGCACAGTAAAGCAAGACTTCTAAAATGAGTGTTTGAGGGTGACTCCAGTCACATACAACGGATGAACACACGGATGAACACACCCACGGATGGACACATGGATAAACACACATAGGAATGGATTCCCACATGGATGTGCACACAGATGAATGCACACAGGACTGCACGGATGGACATGCACACG